GGGGGCCCCTCGAGCGCTGCAGCGACCAGCCCCTTTCTGCTGCAGTACCCTGTTTGCTGCTGAGCTGCAGCAGCGAGCCCTCGGGGCCCTCAGCCAGGCTGGGGGCCCCCGGGGGGCCCCCCGAGCCCAGGGGGCCCCTCAGCTGCAGCGGCAGCTCCCCCTGCATGCGGCGCAGCCCTGTGGGGCCTCCCGAAGCCCCCAGCGCATGCAGATACTGTTGCTGCTGCTGCTGCTGCTGCTGCTCGTGCAGCTGCTGCTGCTCCTGCTCAAAGGCCGTGGCGGGCGAGGCTCTGCTGCTGCGGCGGTGGCGGCGGCGCCGCCCGCTGTGGCTCTGCAGGTCCCCCATGTCTGCTGCTGCTGCTGCTGCTGCTGCCCCTAGCTGCTGCTGCTGCTGCTGCTGCGAGTGGTTGGAGAAGGAGTCGTCGAAGTCCGCGAGGAGCTGCTGCTGCTGCTGCTCCAGCTGCTGCTGCTGCTGCTGCAGCTGCTGCAGTTGCTGCTGAGTGCTGCTCAGCAGGGCTCCTGTGTGAGACCAAGGGGTCCTGGAAGCACCGTTAGCTGCTTCTGCTGCTGCTGCTGCTGCTGTTGCTGCTGCGGCAGTTGCTGCTGCAGTTCCAACCAGGGGGGACGCAAACGAGCTAGGGTGCGAGGCGAACCGATAGTTGCTGTTGCTGCTGCTGCTGCTGCAGTTGTTGAGCGCAGAAGCTGCTGCAGGCACTGCTGCTGCTGCTGCTGCTGCTGCACCACCCTCAAGGGCCCCATATAAGGAACTGTGGGAAGCCTCGCGGGGGCCCCTAGGGGCCCCCAAGACGGACATCTGCAGCTTCTCCCCCAGAGTACCCACTTTCGAGGGGCCCCCAAGGGTACTGGGGGCCCCCAGGGTACTGGAGGCCCCCAAGGTACTGGGGGCCCCAAGGGTACTGGGGGCCCCCAAGGTACTGGGGGCCCCCAGGTTACTGGGGAGGCCCAGGGTACTGGGGGCCCCCAGGGTACTGGGGGCCCCCAGGGTACTGGGGGCCCCCAGGGTATTGGGGGCCCCCGGGGCCCCTGTTTGGAGCTTGAGAGATGATAGAGACAAGTGCTGCTGCTGCTGCTGCAGCGGCTGCTGCTGCTGCTGGTGCTGAAAATAGGAGAGAGGCGCGCGAGGGTGGGTGGGGGAACGCAAAGAAGAAGCCATAGCCGCTAAACCCTAAACCCTAAACCCTAAACCCTAGCGGTTTGCGAGGAGGGGGGACCTCCTTGGCGCTGCAGCTGCAGCAGCTGCAACAAGCCTGTACCTACTGCAGCAACAGCTGGTGTTGCGTCGGGGCTCTGTGCGGGCGCTGTTGCTGCTGCTGCTGCTGCTGCAGTCTACCGATGCAGCAATGCCCCCACGGCAGCAGCGGCTGCTGCTGCTGCGGCTGCTGCTGGGTGCCTCTCTAAAGCCCCTTATTTACAAATAGTTTTTAAGGGCTCAAGACATGAGAGAGCTGCGGAAAGCACCGCGTAGCTGCTGCTGCGGCTGCTGCTGCTGCTGCTGCTGCTGGCCGTTGCTGCTGCAGCATTAGCAGCTGCAGCGGCGCTCTTCACGGGCCGCACAAGAGGGCTGCAGCATAAGAGTAGACAATTTAGTCAGACATAAATTTATTAAACAAACTCTAGCAGCAGCAGCTACTGCTGCTGCTGCGGCGGGGGGGGTGCGGGCGCGCGCGCGCCGG